AGGCTGGGCGTGGTGGCATGCACCTGTAGTCCCAGCTACTCGGGAGGCTGAGGCAGGAGGATTTCTCGAGCCCAGGAGTTTGAGTTCAGCCTGGGCAACAAGGCAAGGCCCTGTCTCTAAAACTAAACAAATAAAACAACAAAAACAGATATACAATCTCTCAGGTATTAAAATTTCATAGTGGGGAGGAGGAGGCAATTAGAAAAAATCATCTAAAAAGCCTTCTTAGTGGGCAACAATGAAAAAAAAGGTTAACATTACAATGCAATAAAACAAATAAACTTCAGCTCTACTCAATACGCCGAAGAATCTAAGAAACATAATGTTGAGGGAAAGAAGCATGACGCTGAAAAATACATACAGTACAATCCCCCTTGGAGAAAATTCAAAAACAGTAAAAAACCAACTATAAAGTCTGAGTGCCCACATAGGTGGTAAAAGTACAAACAAAAGCAAGGGCCTGATGGCCACAGAAGTCGAGACAGTGGGAGGAAACGGGGTATGATCAAGAAGGTCACCTGAGAAGCTTCCGGGGTACTGGCCATGAGCTGTCTCCCTTCCTTGGCGGGTGGTTATGTGGGTGTTCACATTATAATGATTCATTACACTGCACATTTATGTATGCGTGCCATTTTTTATAATTTTACAAAAATTTTTTAAAAACGCAACCATAAAATGTCAATGTGCACATAATACAAAACCAATTGTGATCCTAGGAATACATGGTCTTCAAACACAAGCACAAGACATTATGAGCCCCCAGAAAAGAGGTGCTTAGCCTGAGGGTAGCTGGGAGAGATGGTTAAGGAGGTGTCCCCAGAGAGGCAGCCCGAGGCAGCTCTAGAAGGAAAGGCTCCGAGCTGGGGACGGAGAATGGGTAGAGGGTGTTCCTGCAAGAGGCAGCCCGTCTGTGAAACCACCAGTAGCTTGATTTTGCCCATGTGCAGAGCTGGAGAGTAGGAAAGGAATGGTGAGTGATGAAAATGAACTAAATGCCACCATCATTATCTGCACAGTCCTGCTGCCTCCCAGATGGTTTCGTGAGTGACTGTTCTCTCAGAGAGGATCCCTCTGGCAATACTTTCATGTTTTGGGGTCAAGAGGCAAAACATACTGTAGCAAGCATGCCCAGTACCCAGGTCTTCACTGGTCACGAAGGCATCCTAAAAGAGGAGGTATCTGCTGCTCACACAGAGTAGAAAACTCCCATTGGTAAGTTAAGTTCCACAAAAGTTCCCTTTGAAATAATTTAGATTAATGCTAATAAAAGCTTTGCAAATACTGGCAAGGTTCTTTTTCCTCAGTCTCTCCCCACCCTTTCTTTTTTAGAGACAGGGTCTCACTCTGTCACTCAGACTGGCGCGCAGTGGCACATTCATAGCTCACTGCAGCCTCGAACTCCTGGGCTCAGGTGAAGCGATCCTCCTGCCTCAGCCTCCCAAAGGACTACAGACGAGGACCACCATCCCCAGCTAATGTTTTTATTTTTTTGTAGAGATGGGGTCTCACTATGTTGCCCAGGCTGGCCGCTTAAACTGGCCTCAAGTAATCCTCCCACCTCAGCCTCCCAAATGCTGGGATTATAGGAATGAGCCACTGTGCCCAGCCTCCCTTCTCTTACTAAATGCTACTTAAATGGCTGTGTGTCCCTTTATCATTTGGCTGCCAAGAAGTTCACAGCTAAATCTAAGGGTCAGCTCTAGCCACTAAGCAGGCCCAGAACCTCTGTGCCTCATGTCCTGTTCTGCCCACCCCCATTCCCCAATCCAACCTCGGTTTTCTTCCCTATAATCTCACTTTTTCAAGTCTTATTTATCCCTTATCATCATTATATCACTACCTTAACATAAATAGGCTTAAAAAAATGCATACACATAATTTGGTTAGGTTTCGAGAGAGAGAAAAGCACATTTGCAAGGCACCTTAAAGTGGTGGCTGTGGGTGCAGGAGGCTGAGGCCCAACTGTCCGCATGCAAATCGGGGCTCTGCCACTCCCACCTGTGGGACTCCACCTGTAAAGCGTCCCTGCCTCGCTGGGTTATTATGGGGAGTAACTGAGTCAATACACGACTAGAGAGCTCTGCACAGTACCCGGCATCTGTTAAGTTAGCAACTAAGCTAGCAACTAAGCTCTACTCAAGTTATACGTTATTGCCAATTAGGGAAGAAAAAGAGGTTTGTGAAAGCTAGGGGTGGGGGTGGGGGAAACACACAAACAGAAAAGGACTTGAAAGACCATAGAAAAAGTCACAAGGAGGTTCAGAGGAACACTGCGTTTTCCAAAGCAGGAGTCAGCAAACTTTTTCAGTAAAGGGCCAGAGAATAAATATTTAGGCTTTGCAGCCATAAGGGTTTCTGTCTCCACTATTCCCCTCTGCCATTGTAGTGCAAAAGCAGCCAGAGTCAATATATAAACGAATAGTGTGGCTATTCCAATATACCTTTATTTACAAAAACAGGTGGAGGGTGGCCACAGTTTATAGGTCTTTTCTAGAGCAACTGTCTGCATCCTATAAGCTCCTTAAGCACCATACTTTTAAAGTTGTTGATCTTGCAAACACAGGTATAAGTAGCCTCATTACCTCATGATGACTACTCCACTAATTGGATGAAGTACAGCTGTGGGTGGCTCCTAATTGGTTTCACCTTGCATATGATCAGTGGATGCTTGAGGCTTTACCCATGTTAGGTGCAAGCTGAGATAAACCTCCACATATGCAAACCACCACAGGTGACGCTGGCTCCGCTGATCCCTCCAGAAGATAAACACTTGCAGATCTGGCTGAATCATAAGGATGAATGAAGGTCAGGCTGCATCTCTAAGACAATGGTGCTGAGGGCCCAGACTGTCCTCAGGCAGGAACTGGAGCCTTCTGGTCTGACTCATTTTTGCCCTGGCTGCACACCCAGAGCTCTTCCCTGGCCTCCTCAAACTCTCTGGGCACCCAGAGAGAACACCACCACAAATTGAGAAAAGCCATAATTTTCTACTCCTCGACATGAATTAAGACAGAGATAGAAATCAGCTTTTATAGATATGTTTAAACATAGAAACAGTGTCTACAAATGCCCTAGTTCTTTCTTATCCAGCCCATCCTCTATTCAATCCCAGCCCCATTTGTGGGCGTGTGACATGCAGGTGTGTGGGGAGCCAGAGAGACTAGAGATGCCGCAGATCAGGGATGTGACAAGGTAAGCCGCCCAGGTGCTTCCCCAAAGCAGCCACCAACCCAGGGTTCTGCGAGTCCGACAGAAGGTGACTGGGACGGCTTCTGGACAGCGGGAGCTTGCATGTGAGCTGTGCCTCAAAAGACAAGTAGGGCAACTGTGAACGATGATGCACAAAGAATTTTTACTGATATGAAAAAATGCTTACGACATAAGAATGAAGTGAAAAAAGCCACACAGAAAATAGGTCATGCAGAATGAACTTACTCCGTAAAAAGGAAGGAAAAAAAAAAGCCTAGAAAAATATTCAGCAAAACTCCCAAAATGTGAAGAGCTCTGCTTCTGGCTCTTAAGGTTTGAGTGACAATTACATTTTTTCTGCTTTCTTGTTTTTATGTTTTATTTAGTAAACAAGAGGCAAAAATGATGAGGTGGGATGCAAGCAGGTGGAGTTGGAGGGAGAGAAAAGGAAAAGGAGGAGGAGGTGGGGGAGGAGAAGGAGGAGGGCAGAGTCACCTGGCAGGATCCATAGTCAAGTTAAAGTCACCTGAAGTTGCCAGGGATGGACATGAGAAGAAACCAAGACAGTTGACTTCACCATCCTCTGCAGACTGAATATTTGATTACGTTTTTTGTGGCATTTCCATAAGCAAAAGGTGCAGAGAAGTTGTGAGCAGAAATTGAAAGTGATTCAAGGAGAAGCAGAGACTGAAAAAAGAGGCCAGCTAAGAAGAGGGCTCGCACCTGCCATCAGAAGAAAGGAAGAAGACACAGGCATGCAGAGCAGAGGTGCAGCCAAGTTTCAGACTTGGTATCTTCATACAAGAAAATGTGGCCCCTGTCAGCTCAACCAGCACAGACTCAGGACAGGTAAAAGATGCACGGCTTTGAGGGGCTACTTGCACATCCCTCTGTGAGCAGCAACCCGGCCTCTCTCAAGAAGACACCTCCTCCCACCGTGCAGCCTCAGAAGGGGCACCCTGGCTGGCTCAGGCCTCTCAGCGCCTCAGTCCCCCAGCAGCTGAGGGGCGAAGGAGGGGCCGTGACCCGTCCCTACAACCTGTCCCTAGTCTGTTCATAAGAAGGAAACCGGGCCCAAGGGAGTGCCACACTGCGTCCCCGTGAAGCGCCAGAACACTGCCAGTTTCACATAACTTTATTCCTTTCAGTAAGAGCAGCCTTGGTAAATGTCCAGCGAACATGGTCTTATGTGTTACCTCAGTAACTTTACAAACACCAAAAACCCCGATTTTTCACATGGAATATATGTGAAAAACACGATGTAGCCCACAGGGTATCAGTCTTTGCAGAACCAAGAACACATGGAGGAAGGAGAGTGGGGCAGGAAGTGGGAGAGAACACTTAATGGCCCCAACCCACCACATCCTTTCCCACTCCGGGGTTGACTGACTGCCTAGGCAGCACAGGTACCAAAGCGCTTCCGAACACGCTGCCTCCCCGCAGCCAGAGGCAACATCCCAGGAGGGACAGAGACAGACTCTGGGATCAGCAGAACGAGGGTGCAGTCTTGATTCCGCCACCTGCCAGCTAGCTGGCCTTGGCCCAGTCACTTAGCCTTTTCAAACTTCATTTAAAAGAGAGGGTGTCTGGAAGAATTGAATAGCATTTGTAGGGCAGCAGGCCCAGAACCTGACACACGGCAGGCATGCAAAAATGGTAATGCCTTCCCCAAACGCACGTAAAAGCACCGTCTGTGGCATCTTAAAGAAACAGACCTGTGAGGCTCACGTCTGCAGCACTCCTATCACTTACACAATGTAGATGGAAATGGCCCTCCCTCCGCCTGCCCGTGCTCAACTCCAGGCTTACCTGCACGGTTATAATCGGCCCTCCGTTCTGATAAAGGAGAGGCTTCATTTTGGGCAGAATAACTCCCAACCACTTGTCCACAGCTGCAAGGTAATCTGGAAAACAAGAGAGGTTTAACACCATCACAAACCTTTTAGTACAAAGAGACACCAACCCAACCTTATCACACTGGGACTGGCAGCAGGGAGCAGGATCTACGGACTCAACAGATACCTTCTGAAGTGGGGCAGCTACACACGACAGAGGTCTGATAAAAGTTGTCCTGCAAAGTAGCTGTCTCCTCAACTGAGCCAGTATGCGGACAAGGACCGGTACGCCTGGTATCTGTCTGCTATGGTTTGAATATCTGTCTCCTCCAAAACTCATGCTGAAACTTAATCCCCAATGAGGCAGTGCTGAGAGGCAGGGCCTTTACGAGGTGATTGGGTCATGAGAGCTGAGAAGATTAATCCACTCACGGTTAATGCATCAGTGGGTTATCACAGGAATGGGATGGGAGGCTTTATAAGAAGAGGAAGGGAGACCTGAGCCCCCTCATGATGTGATACCCTGTGCCACCCCGGGACTCTGCAGAGAGTCCCCACCAGCAAGGAGGCTCCCATCAGATGAGACCTCTTAACCGTGACTTAACCGTGGACTTCTCAGCTTCCGTAACTGTAAGAATTAAGTTCCTTTTCTTTATAAATTACCCAGTTTCAGGTGTTCTGTTATAAGCAATTGTCCTCGCCACAGGACACAAAGCCTGGAGGCATCCAAGCAATGTTTGCTGAGCAAAGAAAAGACTGAATAGCGTGTCTTCCATCAGTCTCAGCAGGGCTTTTTTCTTTTTAAAATTAAATTCTAACAAATTACATATTTACATTGTCAAATGGGAATAATAAAAATATATGTTACGTAAAGTTGTCATAAGGATTAAATGAGATAATACATGTGAAAACACTAATAATATACTAAGAGTATGAGACATGAGGGTAACAGAGTAAGAAGGAAATATACGTGTAATACACTAGCCTTTTATGCAGGAAACTTAATCAATGTTAGCTGCTGCTACAATCATCTTGGCTACCATCACCACCTCTACCCCCACCGCCATCCCCAAGAAATTGACGTCTTCAGAAGACAGAAATGCAGGTAAACGGGACCTTGTGACTGATTAGAGTTTACTAGCTAAAATAATCTCTAGTGATTTAAAAAGACAAGGAAAAAAACTGTCATTCACAGATCACTCTGTAAAAGTAGACAAAGAAATAGAAGGCACTGCAGCTACCAAGCAATCCGGTGACACCCTCCCAGACACTGTCTGCCATTTTGATTAGCTGGGCGCTGGCAGGCTGTGTGATACACTAAGTATGCAGGAAGAGAACACACCGAAGTCAGCTGGTCAACCACAGACAGGGCTCAATGCCAATTCGAAGAGCTACCAGTTTATCAGCAAGATCTGGTCAAGGAGTTCAAGAAAACCTTATTTCCTATTGGTTTAATGCCTGGTGTTATGCAGTGGACGGTGATTAACACTCAGACTTTCACTAAACTTTCAGAAGTATTTGTACAGAAGTACTCCAACCTTCAAAATACCTGACCCTCTTGGTATAAATTGTCCACGCCTTTGTAAATTCTCTCAAGACATCTGTAACAACTTACCTGGGTCAGAGGAGCGAAGAATAATAGATTCTTTCTCTAATAGCCAAGCAGGTAATCCTCCCTAGGACAGGGGGAAAACAGGCCATTATAATGTCGATGTCATGAAAGGAGCTCAAGGGAGACAGAAATGACTATTAGCAGTGATGGAAAAGAAGGAAATCTTCAGGGAAAAGGGGTATTTGAGCCGGGCTTTCACGTTAGTAACTTTCAGAGAAATTAGGAATTGTAATGTAGTAAAACTAGATCATTGTGCATGAATGCAATGTTTCAAGAAGCTTTTTATGTAGATCATTCCACTTAATTTCACAACTCCCCTGTGAGGTAGACAGAGCAGACACCATTAACCGTTTTTTACAGATGAGGAAACAATTATGTGGTGACCACCAGGAGGAGAGTACCTGTTCCCCTCTGCCTGGGCACCTTCCTCAGGTAGCAGACACCTGTGCTGGGGACAGTCACAGGCTCTATGTTATCTGGAATTAGAGTCTTCTTTAAATTGTTTTAATTCGCTTTGCCCCAGAGCCCCTGCCCGCCAGCCCAACCCCTTCACGCTCACCAGGCAGGCAGAGCCCCGTCTAGCCACACTCACCATGTCCCACTCCGCACAGATGTAGGGCCCAGGCCTCAGGATAACCAGCAGGCCCAGTTCGTGAGCCAGCTGAATAAAGTATTCCACGTCATGGTCCTCAGCAAACTGGTAGTTCCCCGGCTGGGGCTCGTGAAAGTTCCAGGGCACATACCTGCAAGACACCCACAGCTCCTCTGTGGACACTGGGCAAAGTCAAGTAGAAGGGGTGAAAGAACAGGCCTTCTTACGACTGTTGCCAACACACGGATGAGAGGGAGAAGAAGAGTAGGAAGAGGCTTGCTAAGAAAAATTATCCAGAACTTGGAAATAAGGCAAAAGGGTGATTGCATTTCCTTTCCATGTTATATTGGAGGATTGTCCAACAAGCTCATCCAAGGCTTCTTTCATTCCCTGGGGGAAGTATGTTGACTGACTTACTATTTACTATTAATTAGGGGAAAGACTGTAAAATTGCAGATTAATTTGTAGATTTTCACCTGGTAGAGGTACAAATGATTATTTTTATGTAAAGAAGACAACCCCAAAAGTCACTTTCCTTTTTCTTTTTTTCGGAGACACAGTCTCGCTCTGCCACCCTGGGGAGAGTGCAGTGGCATCATCGTAGCTCACTGTAACCTCAAATTCCTGGGCTCAAGCGATCCACCTGCTTCAGCCTCCCAAGTAGCTGGGACTACGGGTATGTGCCACCTTGTTGGCTAATTTTTTTTTTTTTCTATTTTTAGTAGAGACAGGGTCTTGCTCTTGCTCTTGCTCAGGCTGATCTTGAACTCCTGAACTCAAGCGATCCTCCCGCCTTGGCCTCCCAGAGTGCTAGGATTACAGGCATGCACCACCATGCCCGGCCCAAAAGTTACTCTTTCATACATTCCTTTTTATGATATTGACCAGTTTTTTTTTTTTTTTTTTTTTACAGACGGGATCTCACTCCGTCACCCAAGGTGTGGTGGCGTGATCATAGCTTACAGGAACCTTGAACTCCAGGGCTCAAGGGATCCTCCCCCTCAGCCTCTGGAGTAGCTAGGGCTACAGGCACACACGACCAAGCCTGGATAATTTTTAAAACTTTTTTTGTAGTGACTGGGTCTCACTATGTTGCTCAGGCTGGTCTCCAACTCCTAGCCTCAAGTGATCCTCCTGGCCCAGCCTCCCAAAGTGCTGGGACTACAGGCATGAGCCACTGTGCCCAGCCCAGTTTAACCTCTAAAGACAGATTTATTTCAGCATGCCTTTCCTGGCTGACTATAAACCTTCCTTCCTCAAATTCCCCTTTGAATTAGCTATACTATTTGGCTAGTTTCCTCGGTAATGAGTTAAATAAATTTTTGACACATGTTCACTATATATGTGTTTGTAAGTCATGTTTTTTTTTTTTTTTG